TTAAATAATGAGAAGAAATTTATTAAAGAGGTATTAATAAATAATGAATATTCCGAATTTTTTTTGATAGGACTAATAAATATTGAGAATAAACTTAATAATCCAGTACAATAAAAACCTGAATACCAATATACAACAATAATTACTTATATACTAGGTTTATCAGAAAAACTACGTCGTGTCGGAGATAAGATTCATGTGAGGACAGTATTTCAAAGAAGTAATACTATAAGATCCATTTTAATAAAAAAAACCGGTAAATTGTGAGCAAAATTCAAAAAAAATATTTGTACAGTATTCCGTGTGAATGTAATAAACATTATGTGGAAAAGTCATCCAGACCCCTCAGTGTAAGGTTAGGTCAGCATAAAAGTTATATTAGAAAGGGTGAAATTAAAAATCGAAAATTTGCTAACCTGTTTGGGAAAATAGACGTAGAATAAACTGGGATTCTGCAAAAATTTTAATGAAATAAGCGGACAGCAAAAAAAGAAAAACTAAGGAATCGGCAATAATATTATTGAATGAAGAAAAATGTTTATTCCATTTCTCTGTAGATTTTGGTACAACGATGGTAAAAGAAGAATTGAACAAAATTAATATTGTATAATTTTTAAGTTCTATGTAAGTATCTATGGATATTACATAAACAAATAATATGTCAAGTTTCACGCTTGACATGTTATAAAAAAAGAAGTAGGCATATCTTCTCAAGAAATAATAGCTCTAATTTTCGTAGAAGAAATGCATTTTTTTTGTCAATAAAGGCAAAAGCCGTGTGGAAATATGACAAAAGACAAGATAAAACACAAAAAATTTGAGTAAAACAGTTCATACAACAAACTGGCATTCTTTTCGTGTCAATAAGGGCATAAGCTTCACGAAAACTGGATGGAATACAAGACATGATTCTATAAAACATTTCAGTAAAAGGGTATAAGTCACAAAATGACATATATTTGCCTATTCAGCGTCGCTGGATGAAGAATTTTCACGATTATCACTATCAACATGATTCTTGTCCATAAAACTATTATCTACATAAAAATCTGTTTCATTTTCGGTTTCTGAATCACCTAGAGAATAATTGTTTTCGCTGGAAATACAATATCCGGTCATGTCATGTCATACATGACTATTCACCATGATGGTGGCTTTTATAAGCAATGCATTATATTTTCAGGATAACAAACTACATAATTTTCCTCGCAACAATCTGTCGGTGAATTACTAAAATACAAATTTTATTGTATGATCCCTTGTTTCTGATACCGATTATGAGAGTAATTCAGTTTATGAAACTTTTCACGCCAAGGACTTCAATTCGGCAATTAAATATCAAAGTTATAATTCTAATTGAGAATATTCTTTAAAAATTATAAACACTTTTTTATTACTTGTCTAATTTTCACTCTATTTGTTATTTTGCAACTAGTTTCATCCTATCCTGACATTTTCAAGTAAACTTTTAAACAGTTTACCTGAAAATGTCCGAATAGGATGAAACTAGATGAAAAATAACAAATAAAGTGAAAATTAGACAAGTAATAAAAAGTGTTTATAATTTTTTAAATCAAAATGGATTTTCACAAAGTAACTTCATCTTCAATTAACTTTTTGGGAATATTCGTATCAAAACAGAGAATATAATTAAAGTAAATTGACACAGAAATATTTTTTTTATTATTATCAAAAAAATTGAAAAAAATATCATTAATTACATAATTAATCATTAAACTACTTGATAATATTAACGACTTCGCGCCACAGAATTGTATCTAATATAAAATATATTATAAAATACAAAATAAAACTGTTTTAAACATAAATCACATTTTTTATCATTTATTTATTTGAAATTCATTTGAACTAAAGCCAAACGTAAATATTTGTTTAAATATACGTATTTCTTATTTCTCCGTTAAAAATAACTTCTAAAATTTATATTTCCATCCTGGCAGGCCTTAAAAAATATTAATATCCCATATTTCATATATCCAATTCAAACAGATAAAAAAGAAGATAGTAAAAGTTTTCAGTAAACTTATTGAGACGTATTCCTTGTGTCGTAAAGAAAATTAGCTGTTGTTAGCCTGTCAAATTTAACGGCTTGTAAAAAATTTAACAGATCGCAGATAGAAAAAATATACCTATAATAAATTTGATAAATGGCTCTTCCTCCCAGCTTTTTCACTTGTATACAATGTATTTTACAGAAGGTCATTGTGAAGATTAAGTGTTATCTTCCCTAATAGTAATCATATGATTCCTACCTAAATCAAGTTATTGACACTACTGAAAATTACACGATTTCATGGAAAAGTATAAACCTTGTTCTGATTAGGTTACACACTATATGGAAAGAGAAAGGTATATCTTTACATAGTTTCAAGGCATTTCATAAAATATGGCACCAAAGCCTCTTAAACCATTTCTATCCAATGGCTCGCCAGCGCAGTTGTGATTGTGGATATAACACTTTTCACTTTAATCACTCTCTTTCTATTGTGGTCGATTGAGTTGAAAACTTTTAGCTCAATCCAAAATTTCCATATGTTTATTGATAACTTAACTTTTACAATTTCGTGTAGCTCTTTGGAACACCGTCGCATCGCTGGTGATGTTCATGATAAGCGATATAATTCGTGCTAAGAGCTAGAGCATTTCAACATTGCATTGAGACTCTATAACAACCGAAGGTTTATCAGACATCCTTTCTAATTCGAACAACAAAGTTATGGAATTTGTGCAGAAAACATTTCTACCTAAAATTTCGGTTTAGGTTTTGGAAACTTAAAGGTTAGACCGAAAGAGAATGGTTCTGCTAAAAAATTACATTTGAGCTCGTTGTAAAACTAAAGTTTTTCGTTTAAAAATTAATGTAATACTATTGCTTAAACACTTTCGGAAAACAATTCAATAACATTGTCATTAGTCTTTGTTACTTAGTTTTATAACATGAAACTAATAAATATTATATTAATATTTACTGAAAATTTTTTGTTAATTATTATTTACTAACTTTTACAAATCTTATCACAGATAAGTATAACATATATCTTTTTAAACAATTATTTTCCCGGCTATTTGCCAAAACGCTGAAACTTGGATTACAAAAAAAGATAATATGCACATTATGTTCAGTATTACTGACTCAATAATATTATATAACATTATTGAGTCAGTAATACTGAACATAATGTGCATATTATCTTTTTTGTAATCCAAGTTTCAGCGTTTTGGCAAATAGCTGGGAAAATAATTGTTTAAAAAGATATATGTTATACTTATCTGTGATAAGATTTGTAAAAGTTAGTAAATAATAATTAACAAAAAATTTTCAGTTAATATTATTTTTTATTCCACTCTATATTTTAACTTTTATCAAGAAGAGAACTTAATTTGTTTTTAAATTATTTCATTGACCCTAATAAGGGGTATTTCCACTATATAATTTCAATTATTCTGTTCTCTGAAGCCATTAATGTTTATTACATTGGGGTTTACAAGTTTCTTTGCTTTGGATTCTTTAAATACGCTGGCTACCCTGATGAGCTAAGGCAAGCAAAAACACATGTCGGTAGATATTTTAAAGATTTTTAAAGTGAGTGTCAACTGGTGAGTACCTTGTGTTTTATTTATTTTTGGTTTTATTAGACAGAATAGTTGAAATTAAAAATAACATTATTGAGTCAGTAATACTGAACATAATGTGCATATTATCTTTTTTGTAATCCAAGTTTCAGCGTTTTGGCAAATAGCCGGGAAAATAATTGTTTAAAAAGATATATGTTATACTTATCTGTGATAAGATTTGTAAAAGTTAGTAAATAATAATTAACAAAAAATTTTCAGTTAATATTATTTTTTATTCCACTCTATATTTTAACTTTTGTCAAGAAGAGGAACTTAATTTGTTTTTAAATTATTAATATTTTGCGATAAACATCTAGCATTTATCATACTTTTCTTTATGAAATAATTGTAGGCTGTACTGTTAGACTCATTAAGTGTAAGCTGGTTGCGTTGACACCAGGTACTAAATTCATTCATTATGCTACCAACTGTATATTCCAATTATTGCAGACTATGGGCTATGACTGTAATAGTAGTATCATCCGCAAACATTGTAATAAATTCGTTGGTAATATGTCAGGTAAATCGTTTACGCAAACTAAAACAAGAAGGGGACCCAAGACAAAGCCTTGAGGAACGTCACGTTTAACATCATAAGCGTCGGATCTAGCCTCATTTATATCAGAGATCATATTTCTCCCATTCATGTACGACTTAATCCAGTGCAGAATATTTACTGGTGGTCCAATTTTTAATAATTTACTCATTAAAAATTCTATGCATACTATGTCAAATGCCTTCGAAAGATCAAATAGTAATGAAACTACTAGTTTGCTATTATCTAAATTTCATACATATAGTTTAACATTTGACAAGTGGCTGTTTCAGTAGATCTGTTTGCCCTAAATCCGTGTTGTGATATGCACAGTATGTTACTTAACTCATACTGTGCTGCCAAGCGATTAGAAACAATTAATTATATCAGTAAGGAATTGAGTAATGAAATTTGCCTGTAATTGTCGATGTCCTCAGTATCATCTTTTATATGCAGAGGTATAAGCAATTTTAACTAATTCTGTAAAATGTTCCTGAAATAATGTTTAATTCGTCAGATAGACAAATGGCTGAACAATAATATCAATCATATTTAAAATAGTTAAGATAGAGAATTCATTAATCTCAGATCTTTTTTATTGTTTAATTGTTGTAATGAGTCTATGACTTCATGTACAGTCACAAGGGGTGAATTAAATTGATACTGAATGGTATCTCTAGTTTTTTAAACTGTTTTTTTAACCGCCTCTCAAGTAACCGAAGTAATTATCAGAAAATCCTAGGATTTTATGTTGGGTAAAGAGAAACAATTATTGTGGAGTCCGAACCGCATCTTAATCTGAATCAAATTAAAAACAAAATTTCTAACTTGCTCTGGGATGGACTCGAACCATCGATTCTCGGTACTGAGTAAATAATTCGCTTTACCCACTCAGTTACCAAGCCCACTTATTTTCGCACACGGCAATGAAAGTGCTAAGAAAGCACTTAGGCCTTCACCTCCTAGAGCTACACAGTTCATCCTCACCTTGTCCGATGATCCAGATGACAATGTGTCAATTGCCACTTTGTGTACTGGCAGTCAATCCCAAGTCACAGAATATCCACACAGTCCCTGACAGACAGATGACTACCCCCGGGGGTGACAAGCTGGCGAAGAAAGAAGACGAAGACAGAAGAGCGCCAGAAGAGGCCCTAGCCAGCAGGGTTCATCAGCCAGGACCCAGGGAGGTTGACCGAAATCTTCGGCACCGCTCACATTTGTGAGTGGGGCCGTTCGTAAAGTAAGTTAACCCGCCCTGCACGAGGCCGGTCCAGGTCTACAGCAATGACTAGGGTAAAAAGGCAATAGTCCTGCCTGGCCCTAGCATCCGAGACCGTCATCATGCCAAATGGATATTGGCGCACGGCAATGACAAATTTTGTCCAAAATGATTTAAAATACTTTCTTTCCTAGTAGAGGAGAAATGGTAAGCAAATTACATTTCTCTTCTATTCCTCTTAAATACACTCAATCAGCTTTCAGACAACACAAAATGATTTTGATATTTACAATATGATTGTGAAAATCTGTATTTATACACAAGTGAACGTTACTTACGAATTTGATTACTGGCATGTTTCTAAATATGCTTAAGATTGATGAAGTTTACAGAATTTACATACCCCTTTTATAATACAATGTTATTCAAATAACGCAAGTCTACGAGCATGATGGTATAAAGCGGAAGCACAATAGATTTAGGGGTGTAACGGCCGATATGCGAGGGAAAACGAAATTCAAGTTTTTTGAGATGATAACATTCATTATTTATACTATAAATAATTTATCGGGACACGACATAAAACTCTTTAAATAAAATGACAAAAAGGGAGGTATACATATAAAGTAACAAAAACTAACATATACATTCAACATTTATTCACGGAAAGTCAACAAAATGATTGTAAATGATTGAATGATTATAACGAATATCATTTTATTTCTGATTTCCTTAAAATCATAAAAAAATTATATAGTTCAAAAATAAGTATCTGTGATAAACTAGATTGTTTCAAATATACGCAAAAATTACCCATTTAATCTGTCAAATATAAGTACTACAATTCCAGAGAATTATTTTTTAATCCTCTGTGGTCTTCAAAATGCTACAATTAATATTTCCAAGGAAGAAAAAGCAAAATATTAATATTTCCATTTCCATACCTAGCATTGGCTCCCAAACCAATAACCTCAAGAGAAAGGGTAACAATTTCTGAGTTCTATTGACAGTCGCCATTGATATAGAACGAACCTACACCCACAGAGCAATTTCTTACTTGTCGAATATTTTTAATCTGACAACTTCCCTAACGTACACGAGAATTATGAAATTATGTACCTTAGATCACCCATATAGTATAGCATCTCAATACGGTAGATCCTTTCACCTTAACCGTTTCGAAATTCTCTCACACCAGTAATTCGAACTCGGTTGTTGATATCTTTGATAAACTCAAAGTCTGGGCATTTTAGGGGGAAATGTTAGCCCAATTTTTAGTGTATTTACCTATTAAACTAACGTTTCTAGCAGCGTGGAACCGAGCCCCTCTTATTGGGAAAACTTCTTTAACAAATTTTCCCAAAAAACTGGTTTGGATTCCACTATAAGCAATATGGCCTCGTCTAGATTTCCTAAATTTCAGAGAATTTGGACAGACTTGGATGACGTTTTACGAGTACTTTATAAATATTTTTTTACTAGTTTTAACTGAAGAATGGACTTAGAAATTATAATGAACTTTTCTTATATGGATAGAAATTTTCAGCAATAAACCAATGAAAAATCGGTTAAAAGTTTATCAGGTACGCACAATATTAACAAGGAAGTCATATATGTATTTTATTTTTCAATCACCCAACCTACTTTCAAGGTTAAATATTTAGTTGAATTTAATACATCTCTGCTGAAAAAAATGTTGATCTTTAATTTTTTTACAAATGACTGATAAGTATTTGCTCCAAATTTGGTATATTGAAACATATGCAGTTTCAATTAAAAATGTTTCAAAATCACTTCTCATAATATTATTCATATCATCCACTTTTTTTGGACATGCACCCATAACTATACAAGGAGGTGTCTCACCAGGAACTGCATCGATCGATATAGGGAAAAGTACACAACAGAAAATTTTGAAAATTTAGGGAATTACTAATGGCAAATCGTCAATCCAACTAAAATAATTGCAAGCATCTAGCACTTCCGGTTATACCGGAAGTCGATACCAACTTGGTTATTATAAATGGAATACACTATATATTTTAGGGTTTTCGAAAAGAGCATAAAGTTCTGAGTCAAAAAATGCCTAAACCCAGCCGTTTCAGAGATATCTGACATTTAAAAAAAATTGACAGGTATAATGGTTTACAATAACCTTTATAACTTTCTTTGTGTAAAAGATATTAATTTGCTTTTTGTGCGCAGAAAGACCATAAGGTGAGCTACGCTCTAAATTTTAAAGAAATTCAATAATATTATACCAAGTGTTCCATTTTTGACGTTACTTTTTGTAAACCTCAAACCGCGAAAACTTGCTTAAGTCAAATGGTACACCCTGTATTTTTTACATCAAGTTATGTATAATTAACTTTATTTTTTTCTGATATAAGCATTGTGGGAGTTTAAGTTACAACTTTTTGAAATATTTGCGATTTTCTTAGAAGTTCAAGAATTTTTAGTAAAAGTTTTAACAAATTAGTCATGATTAGAAACAATCAGTAATGTCAGTCATTCTCTTATGTCAAAAAATTCCATCGGGTTTAAATTACACCCAGGAAGACTTTTGAATTTGTTTATTATTTATGGAGAATGTGATAAAATAATATCAAGAACTTGTAGTACACTTGCTGCTCTATTTCCAGAAAAACGGAAACCGTCATCAAACACTGTAAAACGCATACTGGATAATTTTAAAAACTGTCAAGGCAAGAATTCAAAAGCAGAAGCCTATTGTTGAAGAGGAAAACGTAGAAATAGCAATTCTGGGATATTTTCATGCATTTCCAATGATGTCATTATGACAAGCTGCTCTGAAATCGGGACTATGCAAGGATTTTATGCTCTTCTCGAAAACTCAAAGATATATAGGGAATTCCATTTAAAATAAGCAAGTTGGTATCGACTTCCGGTATAACCGGAAGTGCCAGATGCTTGCAATTGATCACACTGCCATTAGTAATTCTCTAAATTTTCAAAATTTTCTGGTGCGTACTTTTCCCTATATCGATAGATGCAGTTCCTGGTTAGACACCTTGTATAATTATATAATAGCTTCCTAACAATTTGTCTATAGTTATCCGCCCTATGGTTTCCAAGAAACTTTGTTACCACTTTTTGAACCTCATTCAAATTCAAGATCATTCATTAGTTCCATTATTATGTCCTTGATCTTATTTTCAGAAACTTATTTTTCAAGAAAAGAAAACCTTGGCCACGATCCATCGCCTTGATAAAATGTTTCGTCAAACCTAGATTGACATGTAAAGGTGGAAGACATACTTTCTCTCGTGGTACAAGTGGCTTACTCTTCTTAACGTTTTTGCCTCTCGGAATGAAAGAGTGGCCACTGCTATTTGATGTAGTAGTTATTCCTGCCTTTGCTGTTCCGTTCATATAGGAAGCTATAAAATTATGTATCTAACTTGTAGTCCAAGTAAAATAGCTATTACTTTGAGATCTCCACAAATATACCAAAAATATTTCCCATATTGTATACAGGTTAGCAAGAGTTTAATATTTTCGTATGGTTAAGCAAGGGGTTCGATGGATACTTATTTCCATTAGGACTGCTTCCAAATTCAGCTTTGAAAAATCTATTGCGAACTGAGGTTCGGTAAACGACTTCTGAAAGTCAGAGTCTTAGTGAGAACAGCGTAGCACTTTATGGGAAATAATGATGACCTGTTATAAAAAAAAATGAAAACTGACAGAAATTATGACTTCATAATCAGAATCAACACCTCTAAAAACATATGAAACAACAAACGTTGTGCAAAAATTAGCAAAATCACTGTCGACCAATGATATTTGTTTCCTCAGATAACTTTAATTTTCACTCCCATGACATTTACGAAATGAAAATTATATATTTTCAGCTATACTCACTATGTGAACAATTAGTTTACAATTGCATGTTGGGGTTGAAACTCCGCAAATATGTTAAAACTGAAAAAAAGTCCAGTAGTTGGCATCTGTAAATTTGTTATGGCTTTAAAATAAATCAAATTTTGGTTGGTAAAGCCATGTTATAGTAATTATTCAAATACCAAAGTAATATGGTTTGGTATTGAACAAATGTAATAGAAACTGTTCGTTCGTCAGGCATTACGTGGAAATGTTTGCGAACCGCTAAATTCAGAATAAACAGAAATTATTTGCGGTCGAGCATCATTCGAGAGTGCTAGAGAGTTGGAGACTTATTGGATGACAGTATTGGCGATATAATATAACATTTTTTTCACCTGAAGTCGAAGTTGTTAAGAATGTCGAACGGCATAAAAGTAGTATACTGAGAATAGTTTACCAAGTAACCAAGTGGCGGTTTAAATCCTCTTATGAAAAATATTAAAACAACAGAATTACTCACACCATTTCATATTCAGACTGTTTAAACAAGAACAATTACTCACAGAATTTAATTTCAAACTGTTTAAGGATTAAGACTTGCAAATTATGACTAGAATGAAATTTTATAATTGGTTTCTAAAACAAACAGCAAGAACTTAGTTTGTAAACAATGTTTTTCAACTGACAAAAGAAGTGGTGTTGTAATCAGAGCTCGGATGTAGGTATCGGTTCCCAATGATGGCTTTCATGCAGACATAATATATTGTACACCTAATGAAACATTTCAAAATAATAAAAAAAACAGAAATTTATACAACACGATTAATTTATTATAA